CTATGAGTATGCCGCATTATTTTTAATAAATTGCTCATGGAGATCAATGCAAAAAAAAATACCTTAAAATAAAAACCTATTAATGAGGGATATATTAAAAATACGCATTTATTATGAAAACAAAATTGTAGTTAAAAAGTGCTTGTGTTGGCATAATATAAAGGTTGACATCAGTCAAAATCTTGCCAGAGATGTAATTTTAAGCGCCTTTGAAAAGTAATATCTTATAAAAAAATTGTCAAAATGTGTATGTATAATTTTTGATCAAAGAAAGGGGGCAAAAGTTGCATGATTTTTAAGAAAAGTTTCAAAATAAGCCTATTTCTAAAAGTCGGTGTCAGGGGGCATCGATCTTCAAAAAGTGTCATTTGGCACTTTAGTCGCACAACGGTAGCTCTGACTCGGAGGTTTGCCATTGCCTGCCGACCGCTGTTAAGAAAAAACATTTTTTTTTGCGTTATTGCTTTGACCAGGGCTTGAACCCAGGCCATACGGAGTGGAAGCGCGCACTGCTAACCACTACACCACAGCTATCCTATAATTAAAGTTGGGCTAAATAACACCAGTGTGCCAAATTTCATTATGATCGGTTGAGTAGTTAAAGCGTGAAAGCGTAACAAACAAACCATTAAATTAGTAAGGATTATCGGAAATTTCGGACACGGACTTTCCAAGGATGGTTATAGGCTAAAACCAAACCGATATCCAAAGGGACGTGGCACTTCCCATACAAACCGAATTTTTTTATGCTTCATATCTCTGAAGTGTTCATGGTAGAGTACTGGAACTTGGTAAATGGAAAAATGGGGGTTATTGGAAAAGGCGACGCAAAGTGGGCTGAAATTGGCAGGCAGGGACTTAGGTCTTTAAATGTATTTTCAAACTCTATGATCCACTGTCATAATTTTATGATATATAACGTTTTTCGTAAAACCTAAATTTAAAAAGTTATTCGACTTTACTTTTGTATGGGTAACTAAAAATTTATAATATTATGTTAGAATGGATTTCACTTTTTTTTTTAATGTTACCGGTTAAGTGTTTAACTAATTAATGAAATTACGCATCTATGTAAAGCAAAAAAGTGTATAATTAAATTAATAATTATTGTATGGACACGTTACGACTTGATGTCACATGTTTACAATAAAAAATGTGTTCAACAAATCACAGATAAATTAATCATCCACATGTACATAGATTGTTATGTCAATTCGAATCATCGAAAAAAACAGTACGCAACGACTCTTGATCATTAGCGCAAAACTACCCGATTATCATTTAATGGGAGTTATTCTTTATTCTCGAAACGTTTCGTGATTTAGGGACAAATTGTGATATATTTGAAAAACTAAAAGAATGAGGCAATATTAAAGATCTATCTTATTTTCGAAGTAAAGAAATTTAATGAATAAGTAGTGTTGTATGTATTTTAAAATGTATGTGGATCTGCTTGCTTGTATAGGCAACGTTAGTTACTTTTATTGAAGTCGAAGCAGTTGTTTTTAGATACATACATACACATGTTTTACAAAATACGTACGCGTGGATATATGGCGTATGAGTAACAAACAAACGAATCACTGAATTTGACAGTATGTTTTTTAGTGAATTATTGTGAACTCAGGTGTAATAGAAAGTGTCTGTCAATATTGAATATTCGTAGCAATATTATGTAAAAGTTATGTATGAATCTACATACATATATAAAAAAGTAAGTGCGCCTGGGCCACACTGTAGAAGTTAAACTTACGTTACTTATCTATCTATACATACACACATATGCTTTTGCTTAAGGGTATATTTTTTCGCTTTTTTTCTATCAATGTAGATCCCTACCTCTACCACTGTTCGTTTTAATAACATTCATGTTATTCTGTTTTTCCATTATCTTCATTTTTATCATTATACTCTATCGATAACAAAATCGATTATAACGTCCATCAAAATACCGATACCAAAATCGATGACAAATTCGATAAAAATTTCAATAGCAACATCGATAATACCGTTGGTAGCTAAATCGATTAGAAAATCGATAAAAATATCGATAGCAAAATCGATAAATATCGATAACAAAATCGATTTATATCGATAACAAAATCGATAAGTATCGATAACAAATTCGATAACAAAATCGATAAATATCGATAACAAAATCGATAAATATCGATAAAAAAATCGATAAATATCGATAACAAAATCGGATAAATATCGATATTAAAATCGATAACAAAATTGATAAATATTGCTAACAAAGTCGATAAACATCGAAAACAAAATCGATAATTATCGATAACATAACCGATGAATCGATAACAAAATCGGTAAATATCGTTAAAAAATCGATAAATATCGATAACAAAATCGATAAAAATATCGATTATTTTATCGGTAGGTCTCGAGAATCCCGAAAATCTCTAAAATCCAAAAATAGTTCCCAGATTGAGTCTCTGTGTCTCTCTCTATATCCTTTCCTCTTTAATTACCTCTATTTTAATCTTTCTTCCCCTATCTTCATCTTTGCTTTTATCGGTATCCTCATCCTCCTCTTTGTCTTTACTTTTATGTTCATCATTTTTTTCAGCTACATATTCCCCTTCACATTTGTTCTTATATATATAAGTAAAGTGTTTAGATTTACCTTGGTCTTCATTTTTGCCTTTATCTTTACGCATCTTTGTTTTTGTTGTTATTTTTACCTTTGCCTTTATCCTTTTCTTCATTTATGTACGTAGTCACCTTTACTTTCATTCTTGTATTGGTCTTTTTCTAAGTGTTATTCTTTAACCTTTTGTTAGCAAATTTTTGTTAAATTTATAGATACCATATGCATACACATAAGAAGCACTTGTTTCAGCCCCAACCATTTCCGTTGCACCATTTCCGTTGCATCATTTCTGTTGCATCATTTCCGTTGCATATACACAAGAAGTACTTGTTTCAGCCCCAATCATTTCCGTTACACCATTTCGGTTGCACCATTTCCGTTTCATCACTTCCGTTGCATCATTTCCGTCCCAACCAGATCCGTATGCAATTTCCGCGGAATTTGCCAATTTACTCCCAACCAACCAACCACCGCTAAAGAAGTTTCACTTCAAAAATCAGCACTTTCACTTTAACAAAAGTAACTTACGTTTTCACGTACCTTTCTTACCTGCTACCTGTAAAAGGACGGCCTATCCAAGGAAGAAGATACGCATACATTCTAAAATACATATAACACTATTTATTTCCTAAATTTCAATAATTTGAAAATAAGATAGGTCTAGAGGCCCTGCGATCTTGGACTATTATGTTATGAATTGTTGATTGTTCATTAGTCAGTTGTTAATTGTTTGTGTTTAAAATAAATACATTAATTAATTAATCCCAACGGCTTTTTACCCTCCATTCCCGCCCAACCGNAGAAGTTTATTAACACTTTTTTTAATTTTTTACTTTAATAAGCGTAAACAGCTTTATCAAACACAAAATTTAAACAGATCACAGAAAAACACAGCTTCACAGCTTGACGTTTGCGTTAATGTAGGGGTTAATTTATTTCCAAAATAATTAATTACGTATTAATATCAAACAATTAAGAGTTTCAAACCATACAGTCAGTTGATAACCCTGGTAGAAAAAGTGGTTGTCAGACTCGCAGTACTGGCGTAATGTGTGTGAAATGTGAGCCATAGTTGTGATTTTTTCCATACATTTTTGTCTTAAATTGGTCACAACTTTTTAACTAAAGAGTTTATGAAAAAATATTCAGGTACGAAAAGGTGATGTAATAAAGTTAAGAATCAAAACCCATCAATATTTTTCAAATATTAACTAGTAATTTTTTTGATGTCTCTAAGTCCATTATGGAGTAATTCCAGCCCAATGTGCGACGTGGCACCGTGGAACTTGGAATGGATATATATGAAATCAATGCCATACTTATGAACTAGGGGAAAGTGGCGCTGCCGGAGTCATCGAAACAATCATCCCTCTCACAGCGGTGAAGAGTATTATTAAGATTCTGCATAGATACCATTAATCGAAATGGTCACAGAAGATTTAAAGGCGCGGTATTCTAAAGACGTTCTGAAAAGTTTTAATCTCTGTCTGCTGTTGCCTAATGTCTGGTTAACACTACGATTAAACATAGTTATCGACGTTACCGACTCCCTGTTGTATGCATGGAGTCGAACACGTCGATAAAGATGTTTAACCGAAGATTAGTGTTAACAAGACATTGAGTAACCGGCCCTAAGAGTTCTTCTTCGACGACATTTTTTACGCGTCTTTTTTGCCGTCAACTTTTTTTAGCTCGCGTCTTTATTCAAATCTAATGACGATATGTATGTATGTACAGTAAAATGAATCGTTATACGCAGTTAATTTGCTTTTATTGTACTGTACTAGCTGTGTTTTAGTTTTACTAAATGTTATGTTAGCTATGTTTTTAAAAAAATTTACATTGAAAAAAAAAATATTAAAACTCAAAAAATGTTTGGTAGGTTTTGGTTGGTTATGGTAGGAAATTTTGGTAGGGAAATTAATGTGTCTGTGGCAACGCTGACTCAAACGGCATCTGACATTGTGAGAAAGATATATTTCCGACTATTAATACTCTACTTCACATACTTTCAGTGTTGCCAGAAAAAGATTACCAAATTCCTCAAAAGCAAATGAAAAATCCGAATAAATTACTCCAAATTTTCTTATTACAGATATTAGTATTGCGTACTGCATACTATTTACAGGTACTTAGTACGTGACACCAAACATGACCCTCTGCATGCAATATTCTGCTAGCTCCGGAAGCTCTTCATTCATGGTCGGCAAGGTTTTGTACCACAAAAATCTTAGAACGTCTCTATCGCTGTCGGCAATCTCAATTTGCAAGAATGCCTTCTCAATATCGGCAGTCAAAGCTATTTTATCGAAACGAAACCTCACCAATATTTTTAAAAAATCGGCCACACAATTTTTGCCGGTGTTTAAATGGTTTAATGACGTTTTACCTGGTTCGCATGACGAAGCATCGAAAACGATTCTCATTTTTGATGTAGATTTGTCGTCTCGGTATACAGGCATATGCGGCATATAATAGACAGTTGAATTGCTATTATTAAATTCATTGGCCCTTTCAGAAACACCGCTATGCCACAACTCCTCCACACCCTCATGATATTCTCTTAATTTTTGTGGATCTCTCATAAGCCTCGCTGTTAAATCTCGAAGTCGTTTTCGGGCCATTTGCTTATTGTCGTGCAAATACTCGCTGGAAATTTTCCATGGCAACGCCACAACATAACGCTTGGTAATCTCATTTATGTATATTTCTACGTCCACTTGTGCAGGTTCACGTGGAGCGTTAATACCAATCGACTCGATTTCCCAGAATTTAGCTACGTCAAATGTGTCTTCGCGTGTTTGTAAAGTATTTAAAATGCAGTGAATTTTATCATTATCTCCATAACATCCCTGAATTGTCCATCCAAAGAAGGTATTTACTGCAGTTAAATCATCTGTTATCTTTTCGCTCTCACCTCCAATGAATTTCCACATATTATCTTGCCCAATAAGAATATTCATTCCTCTCACATACTTATCGTTACAGAGATGGTTTTCGGCTAACGTTGTATTCATCCACTGGAGTTTTTTTTGTTTTATTTCAGGAACCGGTAGTATGTCTGCACAAATACTCGGTACGACGATCGCGCTAATAGTTTTTGTTTTTTCGTTGTATTGACTTTTTAATACAATATTAACTCGCTTGAGCTTTTGTGCATTCTTGTTCTCACAGCTGTCGCCAAATGCCAGTATACATGTTTTCTCATAAGCTACCGTAGCTAACTCTAATTCTCTTGCTAATTTGGCGCTAATATAGGTGCGCTGACTACCGTTGTCCATAATTATTCTCGTAAATGCTCTTTCACCCGTACGCTCATTTTCAACTATGGCTTTAGCGGTCTGAAGAAATATCTCGTCACTCTCTGAACTCGCTGATTGAAATGCCGTTGTTAAAAGAGAATTTGCCGGGGTTACGGCTCAACTGGAGCTGACGTCCGATTTGTTATATTTGTCGCTACCATCACGTGATTGTTCCGTTCTATTTTTTGGCATACTTCTTTCGCACAATGGAGTTATGTGTTTGCCGCCACATTTCTCGCATTTAACCCACTGACTCCTACAAAATTTAGACGTGTGGTTTCGGTACGCACATCTAAAACAACGGTCTTCTTTTATTAATAATTTTTTTCTTAAATCTGTGGACATATTACTCTTGCAAGAATTAGTGTCATGATTTGCATCCTTACAAAATACGCACTGCCTTTTGACACCCTGTGCGCCGGTAAGTAGTCCCAGTGCCGTTCCTCTTTTTTGTTCCGCTGTTTGTTTAGTGGCATCCCTAATTCTTCTTTCATCTTTATTTTCTGACATATGCGGTTTTTCTAATGCTTCTACTTCTGTTCTTATAAAGAGTAAGAGCTGCTTTAATTGCTCGTCGCCATTTGTATCTATTCCATCGCGTTTTTCAATTTTATAGAACGTAATACGTAAGTACGAAGGTATCGCTCTCAATAAAACTGATTTGACTACGATTTCGTATTTACTGGATGGAACATTTAGAATAGATAGCGTTTGCATGGTGGAATTTACATCATTATAAAGATCTCGCAAACCTTTAACATCACGCGCTGATTGAATTGATTTTAACGCCAACAGCTTTTGAATGTGTTGCTCTACAATTTTATCAGTATTGCCATACTCTTCCTGCAAAAAGGAAATGGCCTCGTTATAACATCTCTCCGTTGGAGTAAACCCCGCAATGGTATTTGCCGCGTTTTTCTCCAGCGCCTCGCCCAAGTAATTAAATTTCGCTGCTGATGACAAACTTAAGTTTTCATGTACCGTTTCTTTAAACTGTTCCCAAAACGGTATCCATTTATCAAAACTCCCGTCAAACTTCTTCAGTTCAATCGGCTTTAATTTCACGCTTTTACTAGTAGCTCCATTGTCACTTTTAATCATTTGTACCGCATTCGCTGTCGTAATATTTTTACATAATGCGTGCTCCAATCGTGCGACAGTGGTTACCGCCACATCATCATACTCCACCATCCGCTCGATTTCAGCCTCTGTACTATCCTTCTCGTCGTTCAACGCTAAAACTGCTTCATTAGCTAGAGTAAGGTTTTCTTTGGATGCTTTAATACGCTATACCAGCACCACGGAATTCTCCTGAAATTCTTCGCCGCGATCTCCATTTGCCGGGAGTAGCTCTGCATCATTGCACAACTCAGCAATTTGCGTTCGGCAAACTGGCCTGCGTCTTTTCTCCATATTCGATAAAGCTCCCGGCACCATGAAAAAAATACTTAATACTTGAACGACCGATTCTCTCGAGTTCATAGAAAAGATTGCTAAGTCACTTTATTCCAGGTTCAGAAGTATTTAACATGAAATTGAATAAATGGATTATGAATACATTTACAGTGGATCTATATACATATTCATATACAACAAGGTTGCGTGTGTATATGTACTTAAGTACAAGTGTAGAAAAGAATTGAATGATAAAAATGAAAAGGTAAATATAGTGATAAATCGAGTGTACTAAAATTTCAATTAGACTGATAATATTTTTTAAAAGGGGCATCTACATACACTGGAGAGCAAAACTGGAACAATAGAACGGAAAGTTAAGTTTGTGGTAATGTACTTCTTCAGTTTATTTACTTTATGGTAATTCAAACTTGCATTTCGCCTTACCGATGTTTAACTAAACGTTTGACCATAAAAATTTTAAGATTCGCATATGGAAACTCAGAAAAAAATGACCAAACAAAAATGAACTGGATTGTTCCAGTTTTGCACCCTCTTAGTAATTGCTGAATTTTATAATTCAAAGAGGAGTTCTGGCTCATTTCCTGCAATTTTGTAATCAAGGCGCGTGGAATTTTCGCTGTGAGTGCATTAAGTGCACATACCAAGCAAAAAGAACTTAAAGTTTTTGCAAAATGGTCAGAAAGGCCACGCTGTAAAGAAAGAAATCATATGCGGACCTCAGTCTGCAAGATGGAGAGACTACCAAAAATTGCAATTTGCCAGGCTAGGCATATCGGAGGGTCTCTAAATGCCAATAAACTTTGGCTCCAAATCAAAAATTACTGTTTTATCACCACAAAGCAAGTGACTGGACATTATGTTAGACATGGGAACAAGTTATTGCAGCGCAAAGATAAAGAGGAGAAAGCCTGCTTTGACATCCAGAAAAATGTTTATTCAGAAGCGCATTTTTAATAAGAAAAAATGTGTTAACTCTGAGGATAAAATTAAACGTTTTAAGTAGAAATATTGGTTCAAGTGCTGTGCACCTGCATCAGGGATACGGCTAGCGTCCCAAAATATTTAAACTATTAGGTTTGTATGTGTACATTTAATGATGTAGGGCCGTGTTACCTGTTAGGCAGTAAGAACTGTGGTAAAATCGATGGTAAAAAGAAAAGTGACAACAAATGAGCATTTTCAAATTTTTGGCAATTTCTGAGGATATTTTTCGCAGGCTTTTATCAATTTTAACAGNCTGTTAGGCAGTAAGAACTGTGGTAAAATCGATGGTAAAAAGAAAAGTGACAACAAATGAGCATTTTCAAAGAACTTGGCAATTTCTGAGGATATTTTTCGCAGGCTTTTATCAATTTTAACAGGACAATGATCAGAAATATCCTCCGAAACTGGGGCCAAATAGGTATAAATCCCAAGTTTTTATAATCATGGAGTGACCTGCGTAAAGCCCAGAATTGATTCAACAGAAACTTATGGAATTGTTTGATAATGCCACTGTTCAACTGCGAAAATTCGCCCAATCGCATGCAAGACCTTGGGCATGGCGTTGAGGAAAACCGGTGCGCGTTCTCAACAGATTTCGTCTAAAACCTGTGCGAAAGTATCCCAAGATGACCATAAAAGCTAAAATATTCAAATTGGTTATGGCCAATTTATTAAAAGTCAAGCAAATGGTAAAATTTTCTGTCGGTTGCAAAACTGGAACAATCTAGTTTCTACGTTTTTTTGGCAATGTTCTTCTTTATCTGCTTGTATTAATTATTGTTTTTATGGCCTTCTGATGAAATAAACATTGGAAATGTGAATTCCGAAACTAGATTACAAAAAAGTCTTCATATATTGCGAATATATTGCAAGAAAATTCACATTATGTATTACTGTTCCGGTTTTGCTCCTCAGTGTATGTATTGCTTTATTTTGGTACTTTTCAGTCCGATATTTGCGTGGTGGTCACACGAGGGAAACAGAACATGGATAAGTAACTATTAAAAATTTATTATTTGTATTTAAATGATAAATGACAAATTCCTTAATGTAATAAGGGAGCACTGTTATATTAAAACGGCCAAAAACCTTTAGAAAGTGCAATATGTAATCAATAGCTCGATTTGTTACTACCTGGAGCATATTATGCTATTGGAACTAGTAATATAACTAGTACGAAAACGACAATTATAGCCGACACCGCTGCAGGGTATAATTACAAACAAATGTCGCCCACTTCGAACGCCGACTGCAACAAAGGAGCATTGTCTCCTCAAATACAGCATATTTCATAAATAGGGCTCGGAGTCTCATGAAAATGCATGTTTTTATTGGATATTTTCAAATTGAAAAGATAAGGTTATCTTTACGAATCATAATTTTTTTTTTAAATTGCATTCAATGGTTAGTGCATATTTTGCAGTAAATGCAAGGTTTTGCATATTCTGCAAAAAATACCTGTTTTTGCATAGGTATTGCTCATATTTTAGTATATTATTAAAGAAATGCATGTGGTCTTGGCATATTTTTGCTTTTTTGATTTGCAACAATTTAAATTTAGTGCGAAATCTCTTGTCAAAAAAATTACTTATAATTTAATCCCAAATATTCATCTGAATATCGTCTCGGATTGCCAAGCGGCCATTAAGGCACTCTCTTCTACCTCTGTTAGATCTGAAATAGTGGAGCACTGTAGGAGACAGCTGGCCTTTATCTCTGATCAATGCGAAATTACCCTAATATAGATCCCGGGACATAGGGACATTTACGGAAACGAAGCAGCGGACGAACTAGCAAAGTGGGACTCCGCACTGAATGTGTCCCACGCGGTGGACACGGGCGCCTTGCTCAGGGACATAAAGGCAAAAATTACCGAAATGTATCACTCGAAGGCCAAGCAGAGGTGGGACCGTACAGAATCGTACAGGATTACCAGGCGGTTCTGAGTATCCTACGACCCTGTTAAAACCAAAAGCAAAAAAAATGCTACAAACTTACTGCAGTATACACAGAGAACTGTCCTGTTGGGGTGCATGCCAAAAAGATTGGATCGCCCTTCAACAGGTTATGTCGCAGTTGTGATAACCATGGCTCAAAAGAAACAGTCGAACACTTCCTGTGCGAGTGTTCAGCCCTCGCAAGGATGAGGCTGAAGACACTCGGAAAGCCATTCCTGTAGAATGTTTCAAAGTGCAGCTGCCTCTCTGTATGACGTACTGAAATTCATTAAATCCGCCAAATGGCTGTAGGTTGCACAAGTTGTGAATCAAAAAGGAAACTTGCTAATTGCTTGTCACTAGGGTGACAATCTACCCTGACCGTAGAAAGTGCTTTTTTTTAAATCAATGAATGGAAAAACTACTTGGAAACAAATGCAGTGAGTATTTTTGAACCGACTTTAAAATATTAGGAAATATTTTTAATTGCATATTTCACTTGTTTATAGCGAATATTTTTGACTTTTGTGTGCATATTATATGCTCATATTTTCGATTTTTTAGTGCATGAGATTCCGAGCCCTATTCATAAACAAAACGAACCAATGGGGAGGAAGAAGAATGCCGCTATGCAACCGCAGTCAAAACTCAATAATTCACTTCTTTTGCTGCTCGTTCTCGACTTCCCTCTGCTCCTTGCTGCCATCGCTGGGGCGTCATTAACGATGACGTTGTTGTTTATTTTTACAATGTTAGCGCGGGCAGGGAGGATTGGCGGTCTAAATTTACTACTTATTTTTTTAATATTCACAATTTTTAAGTTCTCATTTTTCTTAAGTGGCACAACAAAATATGAGGAATCCCATTAAGGCAATTGGGCGCAAATGTGGTCGAGGTAACCAGAAGTAGCCTCCGCTTCCGCTACAAGCGGGAAAAAGAAATACAACCACACGATAATGGGGGCGAGTAATAAGGGGGTGGGGCAATTCATAAATGTGTTTATGTCTTTGTTATTTTTTTTACTATTTGTGCACATAAATCCACCAACTACAAGGGGCGAAGTAACGGCAACGTATGCAGAATGTGGTGCAATTGCCGGCAGTACAAGCGGAACTGAAACTCTGGAATCGCTCTGTAGTTGTATTCGATGGTGATGATACTGATGCTGATGGAGGCCAGCAGAAAATAAACAGTTTTTCATATTTATGGTACTTATGTATGAATAAGCACCCACATGTTGTTGCATTTACTTGAGTAAATAAGTATGAGTGAAAAAGTTGGTATAATGAATCGAAATGCGATGCAACTAAACTTAATGGAAAGTCTGACTGAAAATATCAGCAATTTTTTATGTTGCTCCTATTTATATGGATTCCGTTTCCAGAATTTTTAGATGCGCTCAAATATGCACTTTGACTGTCAAAATTTTCAGTAAATTATTGTGATCGAGTGGAAGTGGCCGTGGCATGAATAGTGGGGGCGTTCAAACTGTCAAAGCAGACAATTTGTCAAAACTGGAGTAATTTGAGTGGCATACAAAAAGGGAAAGCAAAACCACTGCTGTGGATACAAAGTTTAGTATTATCACTCATAAAAGAGTGCGTGTGTAATGTATTAGGGAAATTAATATTTTCGAAAATGTAACTCGAGTGGTGGAATACAATCGAGAATATCCAGAGCCAAACAAATTTTATGAAAACATGTGACAATACGAAATACATTTTCAAGTGTGCGTCTACATTTACTATCAATAGAAGGAAGTTAAAAGCTCTGGGATAGATTACCATCATGATTCAATAATACAAGGTTAGATAATTATTGACAGCTGTGGTTTGACACTCCCTTATAAAAGGTTGCGTTTACGAAGGTCGGAGAAAGGGGAAGAATGAAATCTCTTGGTGCGAAAATTGTAG